GGACTAGGTGTAAGTCGTGTCAGGCTGGACAATCATACTCCGGGCAAATGCAAGATTCGGTGTTTGGAGGGAGCCTGGCCTGTTAGGGAAACCGTGAGCAATGTTCTGTTATGCTGCTGCTCCCACTGAAGAGCACAAGAGTCGGGGCTGGTTGCAGATCAAGTCGGGCAAGGCGGCAGCACCCAGAGGCATGCACACTGGCTGGATTTGCGGGCAGGGCAGGCTGGGCTGAGCTGCAGCATCCAAGAGTGAGCATGAGAGCCAGATGGGATATGAGACAGACTGGACTAGGTCACAGTTACAGGTCAGCATTTGCAAAACCCAGAGCTGGGGTAGGCCTGGTGGAAGTTCTCAGCAGTCACCCTGTTAGGCTGCAGCACTTGCCAGTGTCCATGAGGACCAGTCCAGTGATGGGCTGGGCTGAACTAGGCCACAGCCCCCATTGGTTCATATAAGAGATGGGACTACAGATAGAACTAATCAGGAAGCTGCATCCACCAGTATGTGCGCTAGCTGGTGTGGCTGACTGACCAAACCTGACCCTGCACTGGCTGGTTCACACAAGTGTCAAGTCTGAGGTCAGCCCAAGCGAGGCTACTTGAGGGACTCCCCAATTGGAGTGCTATACTCAAAACTCAGCTACAGGAAAAATTTACAACATATGTGGTCCCCACCTTGATACTCCTGGGCCTCCTCAGTTGCTGATGCCTGTGCAGTAACAGCATGCCCAGATGTACAGAGGGGACATGACAGCCAGCTCTTCTAGGCCACCAATGTCTTGTCTGCATGAAGCATCTCAACCATGTAGCTGCTGTCCTGTCCGAAAGCAAAGTCAAGGCCCACAGTGCAGAAAGCTAAAAAACCACCTGGGTTCTGGATGCCCCCTGAGCTGTAGAGTCAGCAGATATAGGGAGCTTTGTTGCAGGACTTCTTGTTTCAAGAGAAAATTCATCTTTTTACTCTATAAATTCATTTTTTAGAGTTCTCATTTCCAACAGTTGAAGGCAAACTAACAGATACAGAAACTAAAAAGGAAAGAATCACCATATTGATTACATTGGTAGTATCTGGAACACTGAAATTGGACTGCTGTCCTATTGATTTTATATGTTAAAAATGAGAGCCGAGTGATTGATTTTAGAAATGGGATATGACATGGGTTTGAGTCACAATATCTGTTCTCTTGGGACAGACATTTGGCACAGCAGTTAAGACTCACTCAGAACCCCATATCCCATCAGTGCCTGCATTTGAGACCCAGCTACATTCTTGACACCAGTGTCCCATGAGTGTGCACTCTAGACAACAGCAGATAATGGCTCAAGGCATTTGGGCCCTGTACCCATATGGGAGAGCTGCAGTGAGCCCCCATACATGATGCCATGTCCAGCTTCTGCAGACATTTGGGATTTGGACACCATGAACCTCCTTTCTCACTCCAACCTTTCCTCTGCCTCTCTAATAAACAGAAAAAAAATCAAATGTCTGTACAGGTTCTCACTCCCAAATCTGAACATGAACCTATTCAATCCAAGAGTATAATGAACCTGCCTGTTTGACTAGAGGGTCCCTCTGTGCCATCAGCACTTCAGCTCAGCCAATCCACCTCCATCACCACATGCATCTTCCATCCCGATTCTCTCTGCCGACACCACATACCTCACTCCACACCAACACTTTCCCATGGGATGACCAAGAAACTGAGCTCTCTCACATTGCAGCAAAGTATATGAGACAGTGACAAAGGCAGAAGCTCAGAGAATTCGAAGCCCCTACTCCTGGTGCTCTGCTCATACGTCATTGGCTTTCTCTGCTCTGTTACTTCACAGTAGAAGAGACCACAACCTATTCAGTGTCTGCATCATATTGAATCCATCCCAACCACCCAACTCAATGTGTCCATTGAAAAATTTTTACATGGGTTTTAGCATTTGTCTTGGAATATCACTCATGTTATATAAAAAGGATATGACCAACTGCAAATAAAATCACCCATTGAAAAAGAGGAAGAAAGCAGATGTCCAATTAAAGTATTATCATATTAAGTAAGATGACTTTTTAACAGGTTTCGAAGTGGATATTTCCACTGCTTCATTAAGGAAGAAATCACACTGCATTTCATCATGTCCATGCTGTAATAGTGGTCATGCACCTCTGTTTCCAAACCAACACAGCTCATTAAGTACCTCGGGAAATCTGCATGCCTCCCCTGTCACTGCAGACCCACCGGGCATGAAGACAGTGGCTTATAACACCACAAACACACTATCGTACAGCTCTTGATCTCAAATGACAGCAAGGACTCCCAACAGCTCAAATCCAGGATGGCAGGGCTGTGCTCCTTCAAGGTCCCATGGAGAATATACATATATTTTTTCTTTCCCAGCTGCTCTACCAGAATTCCTTGGCTCAGGGCCCCACCACTGGGCCCTCCACTTCGATCATCACATCCGCTTCTCGAACTCTAGCCCTACACCTCCCTCTTCTAAGATCCTTTGTGATACAGGCATTTATGACAGGGGGCTTTCCATCCACAACCTGAGCTCTTTCACTTACTCACATCAGCCAAACATACACAAGTTCCACAGAGCAGGACATGAATAGCTGAAGGAGTCATTTCTCTGTCTACTGAAAATCCATCATAGTTTAGGGAGATTTTCTGCTATTTCACTTAACCTGCAAGTATTTAGGAAACTGTTCCATGGATATTCAACCAGATATTGTTACTGATTTTGTGATACTAGAATATTCTCCTGCCCCTCCAAAGAAGGTTAGTTGGTAAATAAAATTTTAGATCCAGGCACCACTCAGTCTAATACAGTGGGGAAAAGAACAGATTGAAAGATTTTTTTTTCCCTTGCTTTGGTTCCCAGGCAAGCGACAATGCTAAAAAAAACATCTTCACAAAATGAATTCTCTGGGGAAAACAAATGGAAGAAAAAGGTAACAGGCACCTGGAAACAGTAAATTATCATGAAAGAAAAAAGATTACATTAAAAAGGGAGAGCTGGTATGTGGTTAAGCTGCCACCTGTGATACAGGCATTTCACATCTGGAGTCCTACCTTCTCTGTTTCCAACACAGCTCCCTGCTAACCTGGCTGGGAGGTAGCAGACAATGGCTCAAGCATTTGAGTTCCTGTCACCCACATGGGAGACCTGGATGGAACTCCTGGCTCCTGGCTTCAGCCATGGCTGTTGTGGGAATGTGGGAGTGAACTATGAATGAAAGAAATTTTCTCTTTTTCTTTCTCTCCCTCCTTCTCTCTGTCTCTCTCCCTCCTTCTCTGTCTCTCTCCCTCCTTCTCTCTTTCTCTTTCCCATCCTCTCTCTCTCTCCCTCTCTCTGTCTCTCTCAGTGTGTGACCCTCTCAGTCACTCCACTCACAATGAAACAAGATTATTTCATTGTACATCATACTTCTACATTATAAAAGCACCATCCAGGAGTTTTAACCCTCTTTCTTTGTATTACATTTTAACCCTCTTTGTATTAGATGTTCTTTATTTTATTTCAAACTTGTCTGTGTAATACGGGAGTAATTTGGACACTATTTCCTACATTATTCACAGATCAATGCTCAGGTTATTTTGTGTTTGTGACAAGGGTATGGTACTTTGTGTTTCTTTTAAGGTATGAAAATAGCATAGCTTATAAGCTTTGATCAGCTTCATTAGATGTTTTCAAAGGATATTATTGCCAGTACGTGCTGAATTTGTTTTAAAAAAAAAACAAATCAGTAAATACGATTGGCATTAGTAACATCCTAACCTGTCTCATCCTGTTTCATCTCCTTTCTGTATAAAATGCCTATCCACCAGAAAACCCAGCTGCTTCCCAACTACAACCTTTATGCCAACCTATAGCCCGATACTCTCCCAATTATATCGAGAGCAAAGTCTGAGACCAATATCCACATTTTTAGTATAATACTCCCAAAACTGGTTACAGTCATTTCTAGCTATCCAGTAATTGGTTTCAGGACCAATTTCTGGACATTGAAACCTACAAATGTTCGAGTCCCTTATATGAATCACTGTAGAATTTGCACAGGCCCTACAGATATTTTTCCATGTGCTTTGTTTTAACTCATCTCTAGATTACTTTTTTAAAACCTAAGATGCTATAAATGCAAGCAACTAGTTATTACACTGCACTGATAAAGGAATCATAGCAACAAAAAGTGTACATGCTTGCTACAAATGCAATCTTCCTAACCTGTCATGTGAAGGACTGACTCAACGAAATTAAATTAACACCTGTCACAACGAGGATATAAACAGGCCAAGCACAACAAACGCAGGATTTGAGAGGCGGGCTTTCTGTGGCGAAGAGGTCACTTCAGCTAAGGCCAAGTGAGTGAAGCCACAGGTACTCAGCACTTAACATGGGCTCCCCCTGACACAGGGGAGGGACAGATCAAGGAGTTGCCCCACGGGCAGGAAGAGGCATGCCAAGCTGAGTCTCCCAGCAGTACCTGCGAATGTGGGCCATGCACAGAAGAAAGTACAGGGCTGTCTGCCCGCTCTGACTGCAGGAATGGACTGTATCTGACAATGAACAGAGAAGGCCTTGGACTTCCCCAATGCCATCTGGAAGTGAGGGAGGAACCTCCTATACAGAACAAATCCTACTTGGACAGGTGTCAAGTACTTTGGTTTTCTGCCTCCAGTCCATGCCTACTGCCTACTCCATGGGCCAGTTACACACACGCTCTCCCTGTTTGGAAGACCTCCTAAAGCCCATCATTGCCTTCCAACTGGGAAGGAAAAGTGAAATGTCATCCAAAACAAACTAACCAAGCTTGTGACGGGCAGCTGGAGACAGGGGCCTGGCTATTAAGAGAACAGACACAAACTTATCATAGAGATGATCAGTAACTCTTCCCTAAGTGAACACCCATATGCAGAAAATCCATTCTGCTCCATGACAAATGCCAACAAAAGACAGATGTCATCTTGTAAAAGGGAGAGGAGGGAAAGGGAGCCAGGCATGACCTACCCAGCCCTTGATTCTGCTGTCTCCACTCGATGGCATCTGGCACTTGGTAGGTGGCTCCCTCCATCGGGCCCATGTTGTCCTGCTCTAAGCCAGGTTCCTGGGACGTGACGCCGGGGACAGTGAACACGGGTAGCTCTGTGTCACCATCCAAGCTCTCATCCAGGGAGTCTGCATCTTTATCATCCTCATCTTCCTCCTCATCTTCTTCTTCTTCATCTTCTTCATCTTCATCTTCTTCATCCTCCTCTTCATCTATCTCTAGGGAAAAAGAAATCAAAGGAAAACATGAACTGATACAGTGAGCAAACGAATACAGGAATAGAGGAATCTCTGGAATGATATTAAGGCTACAAAATAATCATGCTTGACCTTTTCAAACATATTTTATAGCCAAAGTTACACAATGTGAATTTCTGCAAGATTATGTACCCAAAGTTATATCAGCTAAGTATTATGTAGTTTCTTCAGAGTCAAAAAAACAAGTAATAATGCTGCTACTAAAGTCATATCTACATTCACCAGGGTAGAAAATATCCCTTTTTGGCCAGCACTGTGGGACACTGGGTTAAGCCACAGCTTGCATCACTGGCATCCCATATCAGAATGTCAGCTAAAGTCCTGGCTGCTCCATTTCTGATCCAACTCCCTGCTAATACACCTAGGAAGGCAGCCAAGGATGGCCCAATGCTTCGTGTTCTTCCACCCATGTGAGAGACCCGGACAGAGAATTGTTGGCTCCTGAATGTGACCTGGCCCAAACCTGGCTATCCTGGCCATTTAGGGAATGAACTAGAGGATACAAGTCCTACAATTTTCTCTCTCATTCTCTCTGCCTTTCAAATAAATAAACAATTAAAAACAAAACATCTCTTTCCTAGTCTCTGGGAACCACTGAAGGCTTAGCACTTGGAAAGCACACTGAGGTAGCAACCAAACTTAAAAAACTGTTCCCACCCTTTATATATCAAAATCTTCTTTCTCTCATCCCACAGTAGTGAGTAGACCCCAGAGCAGTGTTAAATGGTAGACAGTTAAGGCCACTCTTGGATCCTGTTCTCCCTGGGAGCAAGCAGCAACAGCATCGACACTGCCAATTCCATGCTGAATGGGAGAGGGGACATTTCTGGAGGACACCAGAAAAGCAATCCTTGAGGAAACAACCACCACCTTCGCCGTGAGGGCTAGCACTCCCAATGTGCCTCTTCAGTTCTTCAAGAGGAATGCCTGGAGGGAGGTGTACGGCCCCAATGTCATTAGGCTTGCCAGTTTTCAATTTACAGCCCCTCCCACTAGGGATGCCCTTTTGAGGTTCCTAAGGTGTTCATCATCAGAAGCCTTTCTTTGGGTCTCACCCTTAATTCTGCACACAGTAGTTAGGGAAGTAGGGAACTTCCCCTGTAGGTTTTAGAGAAAGAAGGACGGACTCAAGGCATTTCTTTTCCACTTTTAAACAGCTTTCCCCACAAAAGCCCTTTTCTTCTACAGAAGAGTTTCTTTAACTTTAAAAGCATTACTTTCATCGTCGTGCATTCTGTGTCCCTTAATCTTGTAGAATTTAATACCTGTCGCTATTCCAAAAGCCTGACAAATACTTTTTTAAAGATTTACTTATTTTTATTGGAAAGTAAGATTTACAGAGAGGAGAGACAGAGAGGAATATCTGCCATCCAATGATTCACTCCCCAAGTGAGCGCAATAGCTGGTGTTGAGCTGATCTGAACCCAGGAGCCTGAAGCTTTTTCCAGGTCTCCTATGCGGGTGCAGGGTCCCAAGGCTTTGGGCTGTCCTCAACTGCTTTCCCAGGCCACAAGCAGGGAGTTGGATGGGAAGCAGTGCGGCCAGAATTAGAACCGGCGCCCATATGGGATCCTGGCACATGCAAGGTGAGGACTTTAGCCACTAGGCTACAACACCAGGCACAATAAATATTTTTTTTAATTTTTTTTATAATGGAAAGGCAGACTTCACAGAGAGAGGAGGAGAGGCAGAGAGAAAGAGGTCTTCCATCTCCTGCTTCACTTCCCCAGATGACTGCAAAGGCTGAAACTAAACAGATCCGAAGCCAGATGCGTCCACCAGGTCTCCCACATGGGAACAGGGGCCCAAAGCTTTGAGTCACACTCCACTGCTTTACTAGACTAAAAGCAGCAAACTGGATTAGAAGTGGAGCAACCAAGAAACGAACTGGCATCTATATGAGCCGCAGGTGCCAAAGGCAGTGGATTCAGCTGCTACGGCCCTACCACTCCCCACCCAACCCCACAAATGTTTTCAAGCACGTAATTGGTGCTGTCCCAGATATGAAGGATGGAGCAATTGTGTCTCCTTCACAGAACTCAAATGTCACTCAAGGAGAGATACTGCAAACAAGAAGCTATACCAACAGACAGATAATACCAAACTTTGATTAAAGCTGTCAAAGAAAGAAGATGCGAGGCTCTGCTGTTTTAGACAGGGAGATGAAGAAAAGTCTTTCTGATCAAGTTTGAGCAAAAGCCATAAACAATGATCAGCTCACTTGATTAACTTAGGTCAGTATCTACCAGAAGAGCATTCCTGGCAGAGAACAGCCAGAGCAAAACCTTTGAGGCAGATACGTGCCCGCTGAGCTCCAAGAGTGGCAAAGCAGACTGGGAGAGCGGCAAGGGGTCCTCGGGACTGAAAATGGGAACTAAGAGCAACAAAAAGAACCCATATTCACAGTGCGACGGCCAGGCTTATGGCATCCAAATGTTGGAAGCTACAACAGAGAGATAATATTAAAACCCTCAGAGGAGCTGAGATCATCAAACGAAGAAGCATGGTCCAGGCCAGCCCTGGGGAATCCACCATGAGGAAGCTGGCCAGCAGAGACAGATCCAGCAAGACAAGCAGAGGTCCCAAAGAGGTGAGAGGAGAAGCCCCAAAGGGTTTGATAGCAAGGAAGGCAAACACTAACAAAGCATTCCTAAGTGTCTCAGCAAAAGATGAAATCCAGCTCTGGCTTTGACACTGACCAGGCATTGAGGATCTTGACAAAAGTCATTTCCATGGAATAACAGGTACAAAAGTCAGGTTGGAGTAATGCAAAAGAGAACTACAAAAGAAGCAGACACACAGAGCAGTTGTTTGACTCACAGATTTGGATGCCCATGGGACACCCACCTAGGCCAGAGGCACATTACTGCTCCCAATTCCAGTTTCCCACTATTGCACACCCCAGGAGGCAGCAGGTGACAGTCCAAGTACTTAAGTACATACCACCTTTGAGGAAGACCTAGATCAAGTTCCTAGTTCCCAACTTAGGCCTGGCCCTGTCATGATTCTTGAAGGCATTAGGGGACTGAATTAGCAGGTGGAAGTGTGTGTGTGTGTGTGTGTGTGTGTGTGTGTGTGTGTGTGTGTGCGCGCGCGCACACACACGTACACACACACCTATCTGTCCATCTCCATACCTCTCAAACAAAACAGATAGACAAGCTTTTGTTAAAAATAAGTAGATGTAGGAGCCTGGCACGATGGTGCAGTGGTTAAGGTCCTCGCCTTGCACACCCGGGATCCCATATGGGTGCCGGTTCTAATCCCGGTGGCCCCACTTCTCATCCAGCTCCCTGCCTGTGGCCTGGGAAAGCAGTCGAGGACAGCCCAAAGCTTTGGGACCCTGCACCCGTGTGGGAGACCCGGAAGAGGCTCCCGGCTTCGGACCGGCATAGCATTGGCTGTTGCGCTCACTTGGGGAGTGAATCATTGGATGGCAGATATTCCTCTCTGTCTCTCCTCTCTGTATATCCGCCTTTCCAATAAAAATAATAATAAATCTTTTAAAAACAAAATAAGTAGATGTAGCAACTACAGAAAATTCTTACTAAAAGTTGACTGAATAAGAGTTGACTGAATAAGAGAACAAGGACATGAGGACAAAGCTAAGGGACGTGAAGCCAGGGCAGGACTGGCCCAGCAACATCCCAGCAGAGGGTCACAAAGCCAGCCAGGGCAGGGCTGGCCCAGGGACATCCTCCACTGCAGGAGGAGGAAAAGAACTGGAAGCAGGCAGAGATGTGAAAGACGTGCAGATCTGGTGAAGGCAATCTGTGCCAGTTACCTTCAGATTTCTTTATATTCTTACACTTGAAAAAGAATAAAAATGAATAAAGAAATCCTGGTGGTTAGAGGCGAGAGGACAAAGTGTGAAGCAATCACCGTGGAGAGTGGGCGAGTGAATCCTCGGGGGGAAAGGCAGTGTGGGCATGCCAGGCAGCCCTTGGGGGCCCACTTGAGATGGAATGTCAGGAGCCTAAAGTGAGACCTGCTGAGATGGCTCTCCTCAGCTCTGCAGAGTGCTTGCGTGCAGGCGTAGGAGGAGAAGTGAGGCAGAGATTCAGCCAGGAGTGGATTATCCTCACAGAGAGGGTGCGAGATGATGAGAGCGCCAGGAAGGCTGTTGCCTGTGTGTGGAGGAGTAACCATACAGAAGCAGCTGGTCAGATAGAGGACCGCGCTGGGTGAGTGGATGACAGCAACAACCTTTAGGGATCATTAAAAGCATCCAAGGGCTCCAGGGACCTTTCCCCTGCACACGGGAATCGGTCCTGAGCTCAAGAGAACACATCTTCATGTTTGAAGCATCCTAAGATCATTTCTCATTCCCTTTCCTTTCTGCAAATCTTGGAGGTTTGTACTACTGGGATGATTGTGACAATGTGATCCTCTAAGATCGTTGCCCTCCGATCACTGTCACCCAAGGAACACTTCTTCTTGGTCCCCACTGTCTTCAGGGAATTCCTCCACTGAGCAGCACAGAACTATAAAACCTGGGATCCCATCTTATGTCATATCTTTTGGTTTCAAGGTGAGGCTATGTCTTCAGCACATCTCACTGGCCCTGCAAGAAGCTTGCTGCCTTTACAATGTGATTTGGAGGTCACTGCAAGGGACAACATTTCCCATAATCTCTCCCACACTCACTCACCTACTTTCTCTGCCTCCGCATCCTAAAATGGCCAAATGAAGCAACAAAACCCAGAACCAGGGAGAACTGCCTCTGGAAACATCCTACTGAGCAACACACAGTTTATAACCTAGACAGGAAAGAAGGATCTGGTTTTCCTGCGGGAGGAGAACGGAGAGCCTTCGTATATGACCAGCAAATTCAGGGACAGCTGCTCACTTCTACCATCTGAGAAAGCTCAGAGCAAGCCTGAAATGACACTGTAGAGACAGGTCATGCCAGCACCTGGGCAGAACAGCTAAGAAAAAGATGGATTGACAGGAATGGGATC